CCGATAAGTGATTAATAAAAATCAAAAGACCAAAGAGGTCACCTAAAAAAAAAAAAATTAATTAATGGATTTTTATAATCCAATTAGGTCAAAATTTAAAAACAAAAAAAATTTTTTTATATATTTTAATAACCTAGTAGGTTTTTAAAATTTTTTATAAAATTTATATATAAAAAATTAAAAAAACCTGGCTAGCTGGATCTGATCAAAAGTTTCATATTATGAAAACCAAGATATTAAATTTGTGTAACCTAATCTTAAAAAGTTATATCTTATTAAGTTTTTAATCAAATTTAATAATTTTACTATCATTAAAATTAGAAAGACCTGCTTTACAAACTTTCTTATAAATTAATATTAGTTACTTAGTATTATTTTTTATAAAATTAAATATAAAAAATTTTACTATTAAGTTTATATATAATTTTAATATAGTACCATCCTTAAGTTACACTAACAAATAATATAATGATTTTATTCATGCAGTTTGTAGAGCACATTAAATGCACTAGTTATATTAAAATCAATGATATTAAATTGATAAAATTTGGTCATGTAATAATTATATTCTGCTGCTTTTTTCTGAGTTTCTTCATTGATAGATTTTTTGGTGCCCGGCTTCCTCATTTTTTGGAAAACTCTGTGAACTAATTGCTTTGTTTTCTTTACCGATATTTTTATTTCAGCATTATCTGATTTGTTTGACACTTCAATTGCCAGAGATATCTTTCTTTCCTGCGATAAGCAATTAATTTCAATCTTTATGGTACTGTCATTTTTATCAATTTTTTAGTTAGCATTTTTTAATTTCCTATTCTTTTGGTCCAATAATTACTATGTACATATTAAAAGCATCTGAAGTTTTTGAATGTTGCCTTTTGATCGCTGATCTTTTGGCTTCATATATTGGATAAATGAATATTCAACTATTATTTTCATTTTAATAGGTATGTATTGGATTGTTTTTAGAATTAAAATGATATATGGTGGCCCACAGCAAAAGGCAAAAAAAATTTTATAAAAATTTTTTATTGGTCAATCGCCACCTTTTGCTGTGGGGCCCTCTATAAAATGCTTATACAAACTACAAATTTGTATATAGGTTAAACCATATTTTTAGAATTTTCAAAATCCTTATAATTGAATAAGATATATAATTTCTTATTTATTATTTAAAACAAACGGTGCGGAAGATCTATTTGTTAAATATAATGTGAAATCTTTAATCTTTCGCTTTACCAACTTGATCTTTCATTACCTCAGTTTAATATAGACTTAGTTCATCTAACAATATGCCCCACCAAGTACAAGTGCTTTTGCTAGCTACGCAATAATAGCTATTTGTGAACTGAACTCATAAAAATCTTTACATATAAAAATACTTCAAAAACATTTTTGACGGAATAGAGTGTTGACCGTAATATGCAAAACATAATACGAAATTAGTAAATTACAGTTTATTTAAATTGTATACTAAATAATTCATAGCACATTTGATATTTTAATGTCGCTCTAAATTTTTTTATATGATTAATATAAATTTTAAGCAACTCGAATATTCAGTCAAATTCTTCATTGTCGAAAATCTAGAGCATATTACTATAGAACTAATAATTGTGTGGCATGAATATTACAGACATTGTTGAAGGCTTACCATAATTCACATGGATTATGAACAGTATCATATTTTAAAAAATTATTTAAGTCCAAAGAATTTGATGTAATTTATTCGTGAGTTAATTTTTCATTTCTCGAAAAATATCCTTATATCTGACGATGAGTAACATCAAATTTTGCTATTCAATTTGAAAAAAGTCATAGATTAGGAGGTTAACTAATATATAAATTTCAATCTTTTCTGTGCTTCAAAAAATAAAGAATTAAAAATTATGCTTACTAAGCCAGGACAGAAAATCACGTTCCTGATAACTATTATAAACTAAATTAGCAGGTGTTAATAACTAAATGTAGCAATTAATAATTTATGAGACTACATTCTGACAATCAATATCGTCATTATCATTATATACAAGTTTATTTCCATGACCCACATTACTATTATTATTGTCATTTTCAGAGTTGATATTGTAAGCTTTAAATATAACATACACTATTTTATTTTATGTTGTTGTGATGCGCAGTGCATTAAAGAAACTGCCTTACCTTTATCACTTTCAAACGTTGACTTTCGTTTCCAATTACTAAAGCTAAAATTAATTCACAGGTTTTAGCAATTGCATAAATATAACCTGTAAAATCATATCGTAATCAAAACAAATTATATTCAGCTTTTTCAACACTTAATATTGACTTTTCCTTATTATAAAATATGGTGACAAGGTTAGCGGTTTGAAACTATTGCGGACTTTGCTGCTGTAAAGACTCTAATATTCCTGAAAATTTTCTCAAATCATGACTTCTGTATTTTATATTGGAACACCAATTTCTTGATCAAATTATGTAATATTATCTTCAATTGTTGCGCAATTTCTGATGGAGTTTTCAATTTCTATAATCCTCCCTTAACATTTGTATATAATTATTCGGCAGTATGGAATGAATTTTTATCAGCATTCCAACAGTTTTGCATAAATAGTTGGTGTCCCAAATTTGGGGTTCGTTAAAGCCAGGTACATTCATACAATGATTTACATACAGCATAAATTATATTCTTGATGTCCATATAACACACTCATAGTAACTGCATCAAAAAAGTAACCCAACTGGTACCTGGCTTTAACGTCCCCCAAAATTTGGACAGATGTTGAATGATCGTCACATGCTAACTAGCAAATCAAAATTGACAATTTTTTAAAAGAAATTTAATCAAAAAATTTATGTCGATATTTAAAACGAAATCATATTACAAATTCAAAATAAGAGTAATTACAAATAGACAAATGTGTCTATTGATTTGGGCCATTTTAAACTATAAGTTAACCATCGTTATTTAAAATTTTTTAACCTCGACATTTGATTCTATATATGATAAACATAAACTTTTCACAATATTATGCATGCCTATTATTCTACATAACCTACTTTCTGCTCTTTTCAGAATGGATGTTTGGCAATTAGTCGTAAAGAAAGCAAAGAAAATTGTACATAAGATTAATAAAACAGTCCATAGCTATCCCAAGTTACCAAAATTTTCCTTAGAAGAAGAAAAGTAAGTGTGCCCACATAGGTTTTCTAAGATTTGTCAAATATTAACTTGTGTGATTTTCAGTTTACCCTTTCAGATTGGGTCTAAAGTTTCAAAGAAAGATTATAACGTTTTTCTTGATCACAACGAATCAAGTGGATACAAATTTCACTGGGACAACGGAAACATATATATTGTAGATTTGGCTAACGAAGAACATGAAGTTATTACATCACTGCTTACTCAAGTTTTTGCTATCCCCAATGGCGGTATAAGACGTAGTCCTCCAATAGTGGTTGCAGGTCAAACGTGTAAGGGATTCCTTTTGGTCTGCTTGATATTTGTCTTGCAATAACAGTTCTCATTAGTTCTCATTTTCCTATAGTTCATTATAATCCATCTGACATTGCATTAAAAATCGCACCAGACATTGCAGTTCGCTCAAATACTGCTCATGTTCTAAGACCTACCATTCCGCATCCTGGTCCTCCCCCTAGCAATACAATTGTACTTTATATACGTATTATGATGTTTATTTATTTTTGAGTCACTTTCCTAATATCGATAATATATTTCGATAGAATAATCCTCACGCAAGGATAATATATGAAATAGCTATAGCTCAAAGCACTTCTTATTGGGAGGAAAAATGTGTGAATTGGATGAATGAACAATACGTGCGGTGTGTATTCGGTATCAAGATTCATAACATAAGGACTTTAAATAGACGAGTTCATCGGTCAATGACGGTATGTCCAGCTACTAGCTTTATTATTATATAGTTTTATCCTAAGAGTTTTAAATAGGCCAGGTTATGGACTCGTAAAACACCAGCTACACCGGGGAGTACACCAGTAGCAGGACTAGCAGGAATATTCGTTCAAGAGGTAAGATTTATCTACTTTGTGGTTGAATGTTTAAGGATTAAAATGTAATTTTATAATATTATAGTGGGATTTCGGCACTCTACAGTTCAATAGTAATAACCCTACCGGTTGCACAGGTCCGAACATTCCTGCATATCAAGTCAATATCCCAGTATCAGATGTTTTCTGGAACCCACCAATCGTTGCAGGAATTCCAAATGTTATTGGGTATACTGTAGTAGTCCCTCCCGTGGTCACTGCCAATAATTTCATCATTGATTTATATGATATTCAACAAAATGTTTTAGAAACACAGTGATTTATGATCCTTCATTGTTTTATTTTTTGTCGTATCACATCAAGCGAAAAAATTCAGATTTATTACACAATTAGTCAAAACTTTATATGTTATAACTACAATAAAAAGTAAAAGAACAATGCAAATTAATGTAATGCAGTAATCAAATAAATTTATGCCTGATGCAATTCAAAATTATACGCAAGGCAGATTAAGATTGATAATTCAATCAAACCAATAATTACGACACATGAGTGTCAATATATGATGCAGCTGTTCACGTTATTTTATTAGTATGGGTGTCATTGCTTTACAATAAGACATATAAAAAAGTCCCGAGCTTCGAGACTGTGACCGACTGTCAAGGTCTAGTTTCTTTATACAAATTAGTATAATATTGTTAAATACGATTAATATTGTTTTGACATAGTTGTTATAAACGTTTGTAATTTATTGATTAAAATATATACATTCCCTTCAGTAATTTGTGATTTATTATTGTTTTTGATCACATCTCTTAGTCAGGTAGATTTAGTAGTAGTTTAAGATTATCTATTATCTTACGGATAAATTACTGGTTAAAATTTGATTGCTTGGAGAATTGGTTCAGGTTCATTTTTTTATATTGAAAATGGTTTAATGTAATAAAACTGGTTTGGAATCCTATAGTAGTACATAGTCAGCTTCCAATTTAAACATTAGTTATTGAATTGTATGTTAATGAATCAAAATTAATTATAATGTTTATGTCTTTAACTTAATAATCTATTCTATTGAAGGTATTCTTTTATTTAATAAAAGGTATTATTAAGTTAATTATAGATGCTTGGATTTTTGTAGATTATTTTTATTAAAGATTATTGATTACTTTAAAGACATTATGAGTTATAAAAATTTTATAAGGCAAATTACATTATAAGATGGTTTTAGATTTTTAATTATAACAGTATTTGTGCAAATTTCTTTATTTTTATTTTTTTTAGAAAATAAATAAAATATAAACAATTAATTAACATTAAATATAACATGTGAAATTTTTCTCAAGAACAACTTGAATAAAAATTAAATAATTTAACATACTAGATTTGAAAAAAAACTACATGATGGATTTTTACATATTTAATATAAATATATTAACTGATTCTGATCAAAAAATTATATTAACAAAAAGGGCAGCCTAATTGATTTACTCAAGTTTCTAGAATAATTCTAATTTACAATTTTTTCATTGAACTGCATTACTAATATTTATTTGTACAAAATATATGGTAAAAAAACTATAAAGAACTTAAAAACTGTATTAACAAACAAAAATATTTAGATTAGTTAAAATAAATATTTATTATGATAATTATTTGTATATAATAAGTTGCAAAAAAAAAACCAAATTAATATAGTTCTTAAACATAAGATCAAGACAGCAGCTTGTAAATATAGTAGTAATAATAGTCTAAGATACATTTTACAAATACATGTATAGAATACAATATAAAAAAATTAATAAATGAAAGAAAACAATAGAAATAAGTAGTAAAGTATAAAGAGAAGAAAAAAAAAGTTGAAAAAACTAAGTAAATAAGAAAAAATAAATTAGTAAAAAATAAAAATAAAAATAAAAAAGTAAGAGAAAAAAAATAAGTCAAGAAAGAAATAAGAAAGTCAATATTAGGCTTATTATAAAAGGAAAAAGATCTTTTCATTATGGATTTTAAGTAATGTAAGGTCCAATAATGTAATATAAATACTCTGCTGAGACCTTACATGAAAATGGGTACAATGATCAATTCCTCAATATAGATATTCTGGCAATTAATCACATTAATGTAATTAATTAAATAAATCAAGAAAGTAAGATTAATTAGAGAAAGAAAATTAATTAGAGAAAAGAAATTTATTAAGTAAATGGATTTAAGTAAATAAATTAAAGAAATCAAATTAAATAGTTTAATGAGCTTAATGTAATTAATGAAGTTATATTAAAAAGATAATATAAATAAAGGCTAAAATGACCTTTTGGAGCAGTATGTTTCATTGGCTTTATTAAAATACAAGTTCCAATATATTATAATGTTTTTAATAAAATACTAATACTAAACCCAATATATATTCTATAAAATTTCTAAACTTCATTATTTATTCTAGTTTTTGTTTATGTAACTTAATCTACTTGTATTTGTTAACTTAAAATAACTGAAAGCTTTAATCACCTACTAGCCAAATCTAACATTTTCTTTCAAAAAAATTACCTATTATATGTTACATAATATTTGGAATTGTGAAATGACAAAGTCATAGTTATTTAAACCTAACAGTAGTTAAACAAGCAGCTTATTTTTGCTTAAAATAATATGATGAATTGCACTTAGATACTATTAAGATGGCTAGATAATGCTGGATTTAAGTATTAAAAATATTTATACAAATATAATTTCAAAAATTTTAATAAAATACTAATGTGACTATTTAAAAAAAATTACTATTTTTGATATATTATATATTATAAAATAATTTAAAAAGTTATATAATAAGAATAAATTTAATTGTAATAATTTTTTATATACTTATTTGTAACAATTTAATTAGTACAACTAATAAAAATAACTAAAATTTAAATTCTAACTCTAACTATTATTGCCTAATCTAAAGTTGTTATATGTAACAGGTTATTATAAGAATATTTTTTATTTTTTTTAAATCTTAAAGTAGTACTTGTGATTTAGAATTTTATTAATAGTATATTCAGCTAATAGTTATATTACAATTACAAAAAATAACTATAAAAAAAGTATACAACTAGTTACTTATATAACTTTAGTTATTGTCTAATCTAAGTAGTTTATTTGAAGGTTCTATACTAACTGTTATACCTAAAATCTGCTTATAAGTTTCTTATTTAAACACTCTAGTTTTTATATTTACTTGCCTATCTACATCTATTAATAACTTCAGTTGATAATAGTAAATATATATTATAATTACTAATTTTTTAAAGCAGTTTATTTATATAAAAAATCTTTGACCTTGTATTAAATCTTTTAGAATTATTTGTATCTCATTCTTACAGCTAACCTAAATATGTTATAGTTAAAACTAATATTTGCAATTAGGACTTAGCATAAACTGCTATGTTATTATAGATTTATTTTAATTTTAGTATTTACTTTACAACATATTTTTATTAATTTGGTATTTAATTCAAGTTTTACTAAGCTTTTAGTTCAGATAGTCTAAAAAAATAAATACAATTATACTTCTAGTTTATATATTCTTTAGCATACAACTTTTTCTTTTAAAGAGTTCTGGTAGTTTAATTAGTTATAATAATTTTTTTCAAAGACCAATATGCTATCTAATTTTATAAGTTTTAGTTCTATTTTTTAGATTTAATCTTTACAATAACACTATTAAAAGTTTAGACTACCTTTTTATATAGGTCTTCCAAGTAAACTTCTGTTATTTTTGTTTTTGTAATTTATACTACTATAAGAACTTATTACAGATTTATACTGTCTAATATTAGTTTTGTTTTTTTATATAAAGTACAACTATTGTATGAATATTATATAACCTTCCAGTCATGCTGGTATAATACAGATAACAGGTATTTAATTTTAAATAATAGCAAAAAACAGTTAATTATAATATAGAAAGAATTTCAAATTTTTATCAACACTAGAATTTGAATTCTAGATTTGCTATTAAAGAGTTAACAACATAACTACTTTATTATATTACTATGATCTTGTTATAAAAACATTTATTTATATAATAATATCAAATCTAATAAATATTATTTTAAAATATACTTTTAAGATTGTATATATTATAATATTAAATTATAAAAATAAATTTATTATATATTAATTATATATTTGTTTTTTTAATTTGCAGATTTATAAAAAATATTTAAAAGATTAAATTATTAGATAATAACTTTTTTTTTATTATTTAAATTATATTTTATCTATCATATTCACTCTTTCCACTGATCCCTAATTTAGGTAAAAAATCAAAATCATAAAATCAAAAACACAATAGAAAGTAGGTTAGCAGGCACTTATTATAGTTCTAGAAAAGCTTCTAGCAATAGAAACTATCAACACTTTATTGAAATACAAAAAAGAATAAACCTTGTTAGCAACAAATACAAATATCCTTTAAAATTGTAACGAAATTTCAAAAACTATTGAAAATTTTGTACTGCTAGGGAAATTGTTGTTAACCTAGAAAAACAGAAGATCTCAACACGTAACTACATAATATAAACAAACAACAGCAAACAAACAAAACACGTTCCCAATTAGGTAGTCACCAATCTAGTTAGGATCTATTAAAACAACAAATAATATTACAACAATAAGTGCACATGAAATATATATCCAAGAATTAACCTGATCTAGAATACAAACTAGTAGATCGATGGATAAGATTCAAAAATCAGATCTTATTGATTATATTAAGGGGCTGG